GCCAAGAGGTCTGAGGAGAACTCACCACCTCTGTCAGAGTGCAGACGCAGGACATGAAAGTCCGACTGGAACCGCTCGCGGAGCTGGAGACGAACAGCGCGGATCCAGGGGATCAAAACATCAGGGACCTCCCCCTTGCGCTGCAAGGGGAAGACCGTGGTGTAACGCGTGTAGTCGTCGACGACCAGCAGGAAGTACCGCTCGTGGCCCTATCCACGGACGCGTGCTGGGCCCCACACGTCCAGGTGGAGAGTCTGCAGGGGAGCCTCTGTGGGAGGGAACGAGGAGGAGTGAGGAGCGGCGCGCTGCCGCCCCTCAACATAGGGAAGACAGGGAGGAGCAGGCGAGGGTGGGAGGGGAGGGAGAACCCTGGGAAGACCAGAGACAAGGTAACGGGAGTGCATGCCACGAAGGCGCTGCATCGAAGGGTGACCAAGGCAGTGGTGCCAAAGGACCGTCCGGTGCGACAGGGTGCGACACGAGCAGGGGGCCGACAACTGACCTGACGCAGACGCAGACGCAGCTACCTGAGGGGACTCAGTGGTCAGTGTGTACAGGCCCGACCCCGGCTGCCGAGTGAAGGTAGCCAGGTGACGACCTGTCTGAGCACACGTGCAGTGTGTCACACGCTCATAGGCAGGGGTGAACTGGTGAACACCCGCGTCCTGGAGCGCAGAACCCGCCACCAAGTTCGTAGAGAATGAGGGGAGGTAAAGACCCGAAAGTTTGCCGGACGGGACAGCAGGACAAGGGAGGACAGTGGTGGAGGTCGCACGGACTGGACCCCCAGAGGGGTCTGCCAGAGAGACTGCAACCGGCCGACTGAGCGGCGTGAGGGTGGTGCTGTCGCGAAAGAAGGAGCGAGAAGCACCAGCACCAACACCAGCTCCAGCTCCAGGGTCCGCGGCACCAGTAGCGCCACTCCGGAGACTGCAGCGCCGAGCGTACCACTCTCGGAGCCGCTGGGGAGAGGGCGGCTCCCGCCTAGGCGGGGAACCACGAGCACCAGCTCCAGCAGCACCCCGAGCCCCAGAAGCGCCCCTCCTGAGGCTGCAGTACCGTGAGTACCACTCACGCAGCTGCTGTGAAGAGGGAGCACCTCCAGGCGCCGCACGGTCAGTCGCAGCACCCCCAGGCTCAGTACCCTCAGACGTAGCACTCTCAGGCTCAGCACCCCCAGACTCAGCACCCTCAGGCTCAGCACCCCCAGACTTAGCACCCTCAGGCTCAGCACCCCCAGACTCCTCACGCTCAGGCTCAGCACCCCCAGGCTCGGCACCCCCAGGCTCAGCACGCTCAGGCTCAGCACCCCTAGCAGGACGAGAGTCGACAGCTACCTCGACAGGCTCAACCGGGTCTACCTGGGACACACCTGAGGGAGCGGCACCCTGAGGGGGGAGGGGGTCTACCACAGCAGCACCTGGTGCGAGGAAGAGAGGCGGGGGGGGGGAGCGGGGCAGTGCGGTAGGGGACGAGGCGGTAGTAGGGGACCGACTCGTCGAACGTGACGTCCTGAGAAGGCAGGACACGGCGCGAGGTGGCGTGGTAAAACTGCCAACCAGACGCGTCCGGGACAAAGCCAAGGAAGACACAAGGAACAGCACGGGAGTAGAGCTTGTCCGCGGACGTATCGCGAACAAAAGCTCGAGATCCCCAGACCCGGAACACCGACGCATCGCCAACATCTCCCGTCCAACGCAGTGTCGGCGAAGTCTCCGGAACGGAGACACGGGGCCAGAGGTTGAGCTGATGCGCAGCGTATCGGACCACAAACGGCCACAGAAAGTGGGGGGCAGCCGCATGGATCAAGGAGGTACGAGCGACCTCCATGACCAGGCCAATGCGGCGCTCAGCAACCCCATTCTGCTGTGGAGAGGCCGGAAGCGTGAACGACTGCTCAATGCCCTGCCCCTGACAGTAGGCCCTCAAGAGGTCGGAGGAAAACTCCCCACCTCTGTCAGAGTGCAGACGCAGGACAGGAAAGTCCGAGTGGAACCTCTCGCTGAGCTGGAGACGGGCAGCGCGGATCCAAGGGATCAAAACATCAGGGACTTCACCCTTGGTGCGCAAGGGGAAGACCGTGGTGTAGCGCGAGTAGTCGTCAACAACTATCAAGAAGTACCTCTCGTGACCCTGTCCACGAACGCGGGCTGGGCCCCACACGTTCATGTGGATCGTCTGCAGGGGAGCAGTCGTCGGGGGAAACGAGGAGGAGTGAGGAGCAGCGTGCTGCCGCCCCTCGACACTGGGTAGACAAGGAGGAGCAGGCGAGGGTGGGAGGGGAGGGAGAACCCTGGGAAGACCAGAGACCAGGTACCGGGAGTGCATGCCACGAAGGCGCTGCACTGACGGGTGACCAAGGCGGTGGTGCCAGAGGACGGTCTCATGCGACAGGGAGCGACACGAGCAGGGGGCGGACAACTGACCTGACGCAGACGCAGACGCCGCTACCTGAGGGGACTCAGTGGTCAGTGTGTACAAGTCCGACCCCGGCTGCCGAGTGAAGGTAGCTAGGTGACGACCCGTCTGGGCACACGTGCAGTGTGTCACACGCTCGTAGGCAGGGGTGAACTGGTGAACACCCGCGTCCTGGAGCGCGGAACCCGCCACCAAGTTCGTAGAGAACGAGGGGAGGTAAAGGCCCGACAGTGTGCCGGACGGGACAGCAGGACAAGGGAGGGCAGTGGTGGAGGTCGCAAGGAACGGACCCCCGGAGGGGTCAGCCAAGGAGACAGCAACTGGCCTAGGGAGCTGCTCGAGGGCAGTGCGGTCGCGAAAGAAACAGCGGGAAGCACCTGAGTCCAGTGTGAAGGTGTGCAGTGCCTCAGTAGACGCAGTACCTGAAGGCGCAGACTCACAAGCACCTGAAGCAGCAGACACACCTGCACCTAGAGCAGCAGCCTCACCAGGACCAGGGGCAGCAGACGCACTAGCACCTAGAGCGGCAGCCTCACCGGCACCTGGAGCAGCAAACTGGATACCAGGGTCAGGCGGCACACACAGGTGACAGGCTCCCTCGGCACTAGTAGACAATGCATACATTGCAGTGAGAATAGCATCATTGTCAAGAGCAAAGATATCTACCCTCTGCCTAAGCAGCTCCACCCAGTCGGGGAGCTCAGCGTCGTCGCCAAACTCTGTACGCCAAGCGTCGCTCAGACGGGCGAAGCAGCGGGACTCTGTGTGACCACGCGTCCCGCAAGGCTGACCAGTCCGGCCACCCGTGCTAATAACGTACGGGCAGCGAGCACTACTCAGCGACCCTCCACTCTGAGCGTACCACTCACGAAGCTGCTAGGGCGAAAGAGTCTCGCGCGGACGACGCTGCTGCTGCACCGGGCCACTACAAGAAACTCCCGAACTACCCACTCCAGGACGACTCCCACTACTGCCACCCCGACAACCCCAACTGGCGTACCACGCACGAAGCTGCTGGGGCGTGAGGGACACACGCGGACGGCCCTGGAGCTGCATCTGGCCACGCCAGGAGCAGCAGTAGAAGCAGTAGCAGCAGCAGTAACAGCAGTAGCAGCACGGGCAGGGCAGTGCTCACCAGTGGTGGGAAGGGCAGGCGCACGACGGAGGCGAGTGCGGGGCCGCTACAGCGGCAGGGCGTGGCCGCGACCGCGGCAGGGAGCTCCACGGCAGTTGCTGCAGGGCGAGACCGGGCCGCGACGGCAGTTGCTGCAGGGCAGGGACAGAGCCGCGACGGTCGTTGCTGCAGTGGCGGCTGCTCCAGGGGCGGCTGCTCCAGGGGCGGCTGCTCCAGGGCCCAGGGGCGGCTGCTGCAGGGGCGGCCGCTCCAAGGGCCAGGGGCGGCTGCAGGTGCGGCTGCTCCAGGGGCCAGGGGCGGCTGCTGCAGTGGCGGCTGCTCCAGGGGCCAGGGGCGGCTGCTGCAGGGGCGGCTGCTCCAGGGGCGGCTGCTCCAGGGGCCAGGCGCGGGGTAGGTCAGGGTGACGCGGCGGGCAGGGGCAACGCGCGGGCAGGGGCGACGCGGCGGGTAAGGCGACGCGGCGGGCAGGGGCGACGCCGCGGGCAGGGGCGACGCGGCGGGCAGGGCGACGCGGCGGGCAGGGGCGACGCCGCGGGCAGGGGTGACGCGGCGGGCAGGGCGACGCGGCTTGCAGGGGCGACGCTGCGGGCAGGGGCGACGCCGCAGGCAGGGCGACGTGGCGGGCAGCTGGGCGCGGCCGCATCAGTAGCAGGGCGCGGCCGCGTCAGTAGAAGGGCGCGGCCGCGTCAGCAGGAGGGCGCGGCCGCGTCACTGCAGGGCGGGGCCGCGTCCGCGTCGGCGGCAGGGCGGGGCCGCGACCGCGGCAGGGTCAGGCCGCGTCAGCGACAAGGCGGGGCCGCGACTGCGACTTGACGGGGCCGCGACAGCGACCTGACGGGGCCGCGACAGCGACCAGACGGGGTCGCGCGCTGGCCTGACGGGCCTGCAGAGGCTGCGTGCGGGCGGCGAGGGCCTACAGGGGCGGCGCGCGGTCGGGCAGAGGCTGCACGCGGGCCTGACGAGCCTGCAGGGGCGGCTCTCGGGCCTGACGGGCCTGCAGAGGCGGCTCGGGGGCCTGACGGGTCTGCACAGGCGGCTCAGGGGCCAGACGGACCTGCAGGGGCGGCTCGAGGGCCTTACTAGCTTGCAGGGGCGTCGCACTGGCCTAGGGCAGCAGGAGGCAGCGCGAGGGCTGCAGGACGGCACGTGGGCAGAACGAAGGGCGGGGCGCGCGAGGGCGCACTAGCAGAAAAAGGCGCACGAGGGCGCACGAGCAGAGAAAGGCGCACGAGGGCGCACGTAGGATAGGGCGCACGAGGGCGCTCCTAGCGGAATAGTGGGCCCGTAGTAGAAAGCTGTCCTAGGTGGCAACCTAGGCTCGTGATACCATGTCAGAATCAACAAGGGTGGTTGAACCAACAACATTGGGAGTACAAGTAGGAAACCCTAGAATGTTGTACCCCCTAAGGCTAAACCCACTATAGCCTACAGAATATAAACATATACAATGTTTGACAACGACCTTGGGCTCGGAGATGGCGCGCAGGGGGGAAGCGGCCTGGGAGGTGGCGCGCAGGGGGGAAGCGGGCTGGGAGGTGGCGCGCAGGGGGGAAGCGGGCTGGGAGGTGGCGCGCAGGGGGGAAGCGGCCTGGGAGGTGGCGCGCAGGGGGGAAGCGGGCTGGGAGGTGGCACGCAGGGGGGAAGCGGGCTGGGAGGTGGCGCGCAGGGGGGAAGTGGGCTGGGAGGTGACGCGCAGGGGGGAAGCGGCCTCGAAGGTACTGCGCAGAGGGGAAGCGGCCTGGGAGGTGGCGCGCAGAGGGGAAGCGGGCTGGGAGGTGGCGCGCAGGGAGGAAGCGGCCTGGGAGGTGGCGCGCAGGGGGGAAGCGGCATGGGAGGTGGCGCGCAGGGGGGAAGCGGGCTGGGAGGTGGCGCGCAGGGGGGAAGCGGCCTCGAAGGTACCGCGCAGTGGGGAAGTGGCCTGGGAGGTGGCGCGCAGGGGGGAAGCGGCCTGGGAGGTGGCGCGCAGGGGGGAAGCGGGCTGGGAGGTGGCGCGCAGGGAGGAAGCGGCATGGTGACGGCCCACAAGTCGCCGAACACATCGCCAATTATATGCAATAAATAATTAGCATATTCTTTGTGGTTCTGTCTAGAAACTCTACTAGTAGCTATAAGGGGGTCGAAAGTTAGCCTGGGGTCCATTCGGCAAACCCTAAAGGAGTTTGAGGAGTGTGAGTTGTGTCTGGGCATGAGCACGAGGTGGCGGGGGTTGTGTTTGAGCGGGTTGGGTTTTATTTGCGTTTTTTTCCCACGTTGAGCAATTTTTGGTCAGCGGGCAGCACAAGGGTCAGTGAGGCTAAACTTTCGAGCCATTGGGGGGAAGGTGGGGATGGAGGTTCCTGATGCGGTTGCGTAATTTCGCCTTTCGGGCGCTCGAAGTTTCTCGAACGGCATTACGCCCAAACCTCGAAGGAGGGTTCCGCCTCCGTTTCCAGATGAGGTCGCGATGCCGATGCCATCTTTTTGGCCCTGTTCGATAGGCAGGCAAGCCCTTCCGCGGAAAAGGTCGCGTGGTTTCGTGATTGGGTTTTTTTCCACGGTCAGCCCGTAATTAGGTGTCACGGGGCTTTAACGCTCTGGATCCTGAAGGGTTAGTGTTAGCCTGTCGAACGCTACTTTAACCCTTCAAAATCATACCCCCCGAAAGCTCTAAGTCCCTTCTCACACGCACAGAGGTTAGCCTAGCTCTAGCCCAGCCCTCGCACCCCCAAAATGGAGGTTGGCCAAGGGATAGGCTAGGGTTCCAAAAGGAAGGGGATACCCACCCCATACCCCACATAAGTTTTCTCAGCAGGGCCCATGCTCCAACCTCACCCATCTCTGCCCTGAAAAAGTCCCCCTCCTCCCACAACCAAAACAACCACCAGGGTTTCTTTTCACCTCTGATTTACCCAGGTTTACGTGGGGTGCGATGTAAAATTTTGGACCCTGCCCACGATGACGATGGTGGAAGGAGGGGTTGCAACATCGCCGAGACGACCCCCTCCTTCCGATCTCGGGATGGGCTGCTTCCGATCTTGGGGGGGCGTGGTTAGCCCTTCAAAACTTTCTCCGAACCCTCCTCCAAACTCTAGCCTAACACTAGCCCTGCAAGGAGGTGCCTGCCTATCGAACAGGGCCTTTCTGTTCAAATTACGATTTGCTGGCGAACAGCACCTATACCTGGCTTGAAACGAAACCAACGTTGCAATTTCCTCTTCCACCCGCTTTTCTCTCCCACCCGCTTTTCTCTCCCACCCGCTTTTCTCTCCCACCCGCTTTTCTCTCCCACCCGCTTTTCTCTCCCACCCGCTTTTCTCTCCCACCCGCTTTTCCTCTCCCACCCGCTCCCTTTTCCTCACCCCCTTTTTTTCTCCCACCACCCCGCACGACTTCACACACGTCGCACTCACCGTGAAATTTCGCCTACCCAATTCGGGCATTGCGTTACATTCCCGTCGCAAATTCCTCTCAATCGCACGCCGTTGGCGAGCGCCTTTCTGTTCATCCAGGTGAAATATATTATGCGTATTAGGGTTTCGGGCGCCCGACTGACAAATTAGTCTTAACAGATTACCGTCGTCGTAATCGTCGCCCTGGTGCGGCGCGACTGACTCCCATGGCCGCCAGCGGTGCGAAACGCCGCGACCCGAGCAACGGTCACATTCACAATCACGCGTGCGATAACGGTAGCGGTAGCGGTAGCGATAACGGTAGCGGTAGCGGTAGCGATAACGGTAGCGGTAGCGGTCGCTGCGAGAGCAGCAGCAGCGGCGACAGCGAGCGGTGGCGGAGAGCGCTGGTGCGCGGAATGCTGTGCGCGGAATGCTGTGCGCCGAATGCTGTGCGCCCATGGCGCGCGCGCGCGTGGCGTCCGCCGACCACCTCGTCGTCTCCGCCTGCCTCCTCCCGTGCTCCCCACGCGTTGCTCCCCATGCCGCCAATGCCGCCATGCCTGCTATCCCCCATGCCGCCATGCGCCTGTCCTTAAGCAGCGCGCAGCGCAGCAGCCGTAGTGGCAGCCGCAGCAGCGGCAGTAGCAGCAGAATAAGCGGGAAGGAGAGATGCTGGATATGAGGGTGGGAGGGGGCGAGGGGAGGGTGAGGTGGGGTTCGGCTGCTGGGCGGCCAGCTGCTGCGCTGCCAGCCACCTGCCAGCGTGGCAGCGCCGGATGTAGGGAGAGTGACGTGGAGAGGTGGGGCATGTGCGCGCGCCACGTGGCGAGTGGGCGGCGGCAGGTGCATGTGTTTGTGTAAATGCACCCACTCATCCATCCCAGCACCCACCCGCTCATCCACCCCAGCATAAAAGCACCGTCCCCCTGGGGGCGGCCTTTTCTCTCCGCGACTTTCTGCTTCTTCCGGCTTCCCCCGCCTCTTCTGTCAGGTAGCACCCAAGTAACCATCCCACGTGGTGTCCCATGCGCCGTGCCCTGCATCCCGCGACACCCTCAGCTCTCGTCCACAGCGGCTGCCTCACCTTTCTTGTGGGGTATCACTCTGTGTTGCCTTGCTCTGTGTGTGGGCCTGTGTCTTCCGAATCGGTACCTTGGCTTGGTGTCGCTATGATACTGTGCTCTTCGTCCTTCTGCCTTGCTGTTTGCGGTGTCGCTGCTGTCACCACTCTCTCTCTTCGCCCACCACGGCCCATCTGCCGCGTGCCTGCTGGGCTGGCCACTCGAGGGATGGCGCCACCTGCTGCCACGCCATGGGGTCATGCAGCACGCAGCAGCATTGGCGGCGAGAGCAGGGGTGGTGAGAGCAGGGGCGGCGAGAGTGGACATTGAGGGCAAGAGGTGGTGCGACTGCAGATGGTCGCTTGCTCCCACATGCTCCTGCTCTCTCCTGCTGCTTTCTCCTGCGCCACCTGCTGCTGCTGCCACGCCTCTTCCTCCTTATCCTATTGGTGTCGAGTCGAGCATGCTCCGCCCAGACCCCACGCACAACACTCTGCGACAAGTGCACCCGTGCCTGCTCCCATGCCTTCTCCCATGCCTGCTGCAGCAGCGACAGAGGCACGAGTGAGAGGGAGTGGTGCTGGAGAGAGGTGCAACGGGGATGGAGAGAGGTGCAGTGGGGATGGAGCGGAGGGGGTGCAGTGGGGATGGAGCGGAGGGGGTGCAGTGGGGATGGAGCGGAGGGGGTGCAGTGGCGATGGAGCGGAGGGGGTGCAGTGGCGATGGAGCGGAGGGGGTGCAGTGGCGATGGAGCGGAGGGGGTGCAGTGGGGATGGAGCGGAGGGGGTGCAGTGGGGATGGAGCGGAGGGGGTGCAGTGGGGATGGAGCGGAGGGGGTGCAGTGGGGATGGAGCGGAGGGGGTGCAGTGGCGATGGAGCGGAGGGGGTGCAGTGGCGATGGAGCGGAGGGGGTGCAGTGGCGATGGAGCGGAGGGGGTGCAGTAGGGATGGAGTGGAGGGGGTGCAGTGGGGATGGAGCGGAGGGGGTGCAGTGGCGATGGAGCGGAGGGGGTGCAGTGGCGATGGAGCGGAGGGGGTGCAGTGGCGATGGAGCGGAGGGGGTGCAGTGGGGATGGAGCGGAGGGGGTGCAGTGGGGATGGAGCGGAGGGGGTGCAGTGGCGATGGAGCGGAGGGGGTGCAGTGGCGATGGAGCGGAGGGGGTGCAGTGGGGATGGAGCGGAGGGGGTGCAGTGGCGATGGAGCGGAGGGGGTGCAGTGGCGATGGAGCGGAGGGGATGCAGTGGCGATGGAGCGGAGGGGGTGCAGTGGCGATGGAGCGGAGGGGGTGCAGTGGGGATGGAGCGGCGGGGGTGCAGTGGCGCGGGCAGCAGAGGCGACGGTGGCGTGGAGGGGAGGTTTCATGGAGGCATGGGCGGAGGAGGCGAGGTGATGGAGGGGAGATGGCGCACTGGCGTGGGAGGTAGAGACAGTGGCGAATGGAATGGAGGGGTGGGAATGGGGGGCAGGCGACACGGAAGGGGTGCGGAGGAGAGGGGGGCGAGGGGAAGCAGCAGCAACGGGAGGGAGAGGCGAGGGGAAGCAGCAGCAGGAGTGAGGGTGCGGGGAGGCGGTGTGAGTGGAGGAGGGGTGGCAGGAGGAGGGGTGGCAGGAGGAGCGGGTTCAAAGGGAGTGCGCATTCGATGGTGGGTGAGAGAGGGGTGGTGATGAGGGGTGGTGATGAGGGGTGGTGATGAGGGGTGGTGATGAGGGGTGGAGGGGTACATGATGGGTCGTTGCCTTGCCATTAAGCATGCTGGAGGGGTACATGATGGGTCGTTGCCTTGCCATTAAGCATACTTGCCACATGGGTGCATCCACCGCTTCATCACCAGCCACCTGAACATCCCCCGTCCCCCATGCCCCGTCCCCCATGCCCCGTCCCCCATGCCCCGTCCCCCATGCCCCGTCCCCCATGCCCCGTCCCCCATGCCCCGTCCCCCATGCCCCGTCCCCCATGCCCCGTCCCCCATGCCCCGTCCCCCATGCCCCGTCCCCCATGCCCCGTCCCCCATGCCCCGTCCCCCATGCCCCGTCCCCCGTGCCCCGTCCCCCGTGCCCCGTCCCCCATGCCCCGTCCCCCATGCCCCGTCCCCCATGCCCCGTCCCCCATGCCCCGTCCCCCATGCCCCGTCCCCCATGCCCCGTCCCCCGTGCCCCGTCCCCCATGCCCCGTCCCCCGTGCCCCGTCCCCCGTCCCCCATCCCCCGTCCCCCGTCCCGCATCCCGCGTCCCCCGTCCCATCGCCCATCCCCCGTCCCCCGTCCCCCATCCACCCATCCCCATCACCCATCCACCCATCCCCATCCACCCATCCCCATCATCACCCATCCCCCCATCCCCATCCCCCATCCACCCATCCCCATCCCCCATCCACCCACCCCCCCCCCCAGTCCCCATTCCCCATCCTCCATTCCCCACCCCCCATCCACCCATCTTCATAACCCATCCACCCACCCCCCATCCTCCATCCACCCATCCTCCATCCACACATCCCCCATCCACCAAACCCTCATTCCCCTCCCCATCCCCCATCCTCCATCCCCTATTCCCGATCCCACTTCTCCCCATCATCTCCCGTCCCCATCATCCCGCTCCCATTCTCCTCCGGTCCTTTTGTTTTCAATCCCCCTCCCCAGCTATCAGCAGTGCATTCAGTGCGTCTGCTGCCTCTGTGCCCCTCGCCCTGCCGCTGCCAGCACGTGTTGGTGAGGGAGGGGAGGCCTTGCCGTGCCCCGGCCACAGGCTTGGGCGGCAGCAGGCAGGGCGGCAGCAGGCAGGGCGGCAGCAGGCAGGGCGGCAGCAGGCAGGGCGGCAGCAGGGAGCAGTGGAGGATAAGGTGGGTGCGGTGCGGGAGGGTGGAGGGTGGAGGGTGGAGGGTGGCAGGGGTTAAAGTAGATGGGCATGGAGTGATAGAAGATTATGGAAGCGAGAGTGCTGGTGAGAGTGCTGGTGAGAGTGCTGGTGAGAGTGCTGGTGAGAGTGCTGGTGGGAGTGCTGATGGGAGTGCTGATGGGAGTGCTGATGGGAGTGCTGATGGGAGTGCTGATGGGAGTGCTGATGGGAGTGCTGATGGGAGTGCTGATGGGAGTGCTGATGGGAGTGCTGATGGGAGTGCTGATGGGAGTGCTGATGGGAGTGCTGATGGGAGTGCTGATGGGAGTGCTGATGGGAGTGCTGATGGGAGTGCTGATGGGAGTGCTGATGGGAGTGCTGATGGGAGTGCTGATGGGAGTGCTGGTGAGTTGTACGAGAGAGAGGATGGGGGGGAGGCGGTTGGTGGTGGGGCGAGAGGGAGGGAGAGGAAGCGTGTGAGATGGAGGAAGAGGAGAAGGAAGGGAGCATGCAGGGCGAGGAGGAAGAGGGAGGAGATGGCGGAAGGGCAGAAGGGGGTTCAGCAGATGAGGAGATGGCGAGTGGAGACAAGGCGAGTGGAGAGGAGTGGTTGGAAGGAGATGATGAGGGGGCAGCGGTGTGGAGCAGGGGGGATGAGCCGGGTGATTGGGACGAGTGGGCAGAGAAGGTTGGCGATGAGGACGAGTGGGGGAAGGGGCGTGTCTTCACCTTTCTGCACGAGGAGAGGGACGGCAGCAGCAATGGGAGCAGCAGCAGGGGAGGCAGCAGGTGGAGGCAGCGCAGGGTGTGTTTGGCGCGTGGGTGTGACACTGAGAGGCACGGCGTGCTGGTGGCTCGACTGCTCTGCTCCCTCGGTATCTAACTTCCCGCTGCTGCCCCACACCTCTCTCTTTCCACACCCTCCTGCTGGATAACTAACCTCCCGGCATTTTCCCTCTCCTTCCGCCCCACACCCCTCTCCCTCCGCTGCCCGTCCGTCCTTCCCTTCCTCATGCAATTCGGTGCCGTATTGTTACCGAATGTTCATGGTTCTTCCATCCACCTTTCCTTCTACCATCTCGCCCTCCTCCGGCTTCATCTCAGCACTATTTCTTATCGATATCATCGTTTCTCTTCTATCCACCCTTCTGCTCGTCCATGCCTTGTGACCTCGCGTGACAAATTACCTTCCCTCGTTTCTCACTCGTCGCACCTGCGCCTCCCCTCCTTCATTGTCTTTCCCCTCTACCCCATGGTCTTTTCCCGTTACCTCGACATTGCTTCCCCTCTGCGCATCGTCTTCCCCTCGGCCCAATCGTCTTTTCCCGCATCTCTTGCACGCCACTTGTGCGGTGCACTGCCCCTCCCTCCTCCCTTTCTCTCCCCCTTCCCCATCACCCCTTTCCCCCTCTTCAGGCAACGGCTCCTGCATCTTCTCAGCAGCTGCCACTGGCTCGCACTGATGAAGGTTTGACTTGGAGCATGTCCCATCCCAGTCGGCCGAAACATGTTTGCGTTTTCATCTTGTAGTGATATTAAGAGTTCGAATTTCAGATTCTCGGTTTTTACAGGGTATACGATTTACTACTGTCAATCCTTTGCTACAGAATATCTCTAGACTGCAGCTCGCCTAAACAAGCTCCTATGGCTGACTGACGGCATCTTCCCAGCAGCTGCCAGTGGCTCCGAGGCGGCACTTCTCCTCTTCGACCGCCCACTGCCACCCCTCCCGTGCGCCGGCCGTCCACGCCGGGCGGCAAGGCTTGGCGCATCTGCAAATGCGTCATGGCAGGCCACACAGGCAGGGTGCGGGGCTGCGAGGGAAGGCGGGGCGTGGAAGGTGGAGGGGAGGGAGATACAGCGGTGGGTGAGACGAATGGTGTGTGAGTGAGTGGGGGTGGAGGTGAGGGTGAGTAGCATGGGATGGGGCGAGGAGGGGAGGAGGACAGGGAGAGGAAGGAGGGTAGTGGTGGGAGGAAGATGGATGATTCTGATATGGGGGAGGGGGATGAGGATGAAGGGGAGGAGAAGTGGGAGGAGAAGGAAGAGGAGAAGGGGAAGGGGGGGGGGGAGGAGGAAGAGAGGGAGACGGCGGAGGGGGGGGCGACAGGGAGTGGGTCACTGCGTGTGCAGGTGGCGTGTACAGGTGAATGTACAAGGTGGGGCAAGTGTGCGGACAAGCGGGGCAGGGGGGCCACATGCATGCTTGCTGTCACGTGCCTTGCTGGGTGCTGCTGCAACCAGCTGTGCTGCTGCAACCAGCTGTGCTGCTGCAACCAGCTGTGCTGCTGCAACCAGCTGTGCTGCTGCAACCAGCTGTGCTGCTGCAACCAGCTGTGCTGCTGCAACCAGCTGTGCTGCTGCAACCAGCTGTGCTGCTGCAACCAGCTGTGCTGCTGCAACCAGCTGTGCTGCTGCAACCAGCTGTGCTGCTGCAACCAGCTGTGCTGCTGCAACCAGCTGTGCTGCTGCAACCAGCTGTGCTGCTGCAACCAGCTGTGCTGCTGCAACCAGCTGTGCTGCTGCAACCAGCTGTGGTGCTGCAACCAGCTGTGCTGCTGCAACCAGCTGTGCTGCTGCAACCAGCTGTGCTGCTGCAACCAGCTGTGCTGCTGCAACCAGCTGTGCTGCTGCGACCAGCTGTGCTGCTGCGACCAGCTGTGGTGCTGCAACCAGCTGTGGTGCTGCAACCAGCTGTGCTGCTGCAACCAGCTGTGGTGCTGCAACCAGCTGTGCTGCTGCAACCAGCTGTGGTGCTGCAACCAGCTGTGGTGCTGCAACCAGCTGTGGTGCTGCAACCAGCTGTGGTGCTGCGACCAGCTGTGCTGCTGCGACCAGCTGTGGTGCTGCAACCAGCTGTGCTGCTGCAACCAGCTGTGGTGCTGCAACCAGCTGTGGTGCTGCAACCAGCTGTGCTGCTGCAACCAGCTGTGCTGCTGCGACCAGCTGTGCTGCTGCGACCAGCTGTGGTGCTGCAACCAGCTGTGGTGCTGCAACCAGCTGTGCTGCTGCAACCAGCTGTGCTGCTGCAACCAGCTGTGGTGCTGCAACCAGCTGTGCTGCTGCAACCAGCTGTGCTGCTGCAACCAGCTGTGCTGCTGCAACCAGCTGTGCTGCTGCAACCAGCTGTGCTGCTGCAACCAGCTGTGGTGCTGCAACCAGCTGTGGTGCTGCAACCAGCTGTGCTGCTGCAACCAGCTGTGCTGCTGCAACCAGCTGTGGTGCTGCAACCAGCTGTGCTGCTGCGGCAGTGGAGGGGAGGGAGGTGGAGGGAAAGGAGGAGGGGGGAGCGCAGGCAGGGGAACTGCATGCAGGGGAGGTGCATGCAGGGGAGGTGCATGCAGGGGAGGTGCAAGCAGGGGAGGTGCATGCAGGGGAGGTGCATGCAGGGGAGGTGCATGCAGGGGAACTGCATGCAGGGGAGGTGCAAGCAGGGGAGGTGCATGCAGGGGAGGTGCATGCAGGGGAGGTGCATGCAGGTTAGGTGCATGCAGGGGAGGTGCATGCAGGGGAGGTGCAAGCAGGGGAGGTGCAAGGGTTGGAGGTGGCAGGGTGGGAGATGGGAGGGTGGGAGATGGGAGGGTGGGAGATGGGAGGGTGGGAGATGGGAGGGTGGGAGATGGGAGGGTGGGAGATGGGAGGGTGGGAGATGGGAGGGTGGGAGATGGGAGGGTGGGAGATGGGAGGGTGGGAGATGGGAGGGTGGGAGATGGGAGGGTGGGAGATGGGAGGGTGGGAGATGGGAGGGTGGGAGATGGGAGGCTGGGAGATGGGAGGCTGGGAGATGGGAGGGTGGGAGATGGGAGGGTGGGAGATGGGAGGGTGGGAGATGGGAGGTTGGGAGATGGGAGGGTGGGAGATGGGACGGTGGGAGATGGGAGGGTGGGAGATGGGAGGGTGGGAGATGGGAGGGTGGGAGATGGGAGGGTGGGAGATGGGAGGGTGGGAGATGGGAGGGCAGCAACTCGTGGTGCGTTTGCAGCTTGTGGGAAGCTTCCAGGTTGCAACGTTGGGTTGCTTCAAATGTGCAAACCGCCATCGCCTATAGTTATAACCTCGCTGCTACCTCTTCATCGGACCCTTGCCCTACTGTTTCTCTTCCCAAGTTTGGGTTGCGAGTTGTGACTGTGCATCTGCGCTTCGTCCCTGTGTGCCCCTTCGCTATGTTCTCCCTGTGCTTCCCTCTCCCTGTTCTTCCCTCTCCCTGTGCTTCTCGCTCCCTGTGATTTCCTCTCCCTGTGCTTCTCTCTCCGTGTTTTCCTCTCCCTGTGCTGCCTGCCCCCAGATGGTTCGCCTCCAGCCACCCACTCACTCCTCGCCCATGCAAGCAGCAGCGCGCCCTGCTGCCAACCTGGGCAAGCAGGGGCCATGCGCGGCACAGCAAGGGTTGTTGAGGTGTAGCTGGACGCCCACCAGACAGATGAAAGGATACATGTGCAATTAAAGTTTGGCGCGAGAAATACCCATTCTGGCAACACGCATCAGATTTTTTACCTACTATCAAGGCACTATGCTGATGAGTTTGATATATTTTATTTAGGGTTTAGAACTGTTGAGATCAGGGCCCAAAATAGGTTTAGGTCCACTCTTTCAAATCAGGGTTCCAGGCCCCCAGTACCCTGATTGTTAGGGTAAAAGGTTTCGTACCCTGCCAAAAACAGCCTAAAAAAACCTGTGCACTGGTAAAATGTTTTGAGTTCCCGATTAAGCTTTATAGTGCTATAAATTAACAGAATATGTCTCAGCTAGTCGGATGTTTGGCTTAGTTAACGAATGTCGCGAGTTCAAATCCGGGTGGTGCACAAATTACTTTTGCGGCTTCGCAAGGAAAACCCTCGCTATCAGAGGATTTGGTATCAGTGAAGTATACAGTGCACCCTGATATTGGCAGGGTAACAGAAATCGTTATCAGTGTAAATCAAAACTTAGCCTGTTTGCTCTAGGGTAAAAAATTCGATACCCTGTTTTTGCAAGGGTAACTGGGAAAAAGCGGCCTACCATCAGGGCAAAAAGGGTATTTTACCCTTGAAATTTGGGGCCTGGTTGAGATTCAAACATGTGATTTCCAACCCAATAGCTTGCCCAGGGTATTCTCCGCTGAGGAGATAGATGCGCCTGTCCTGTGCTGTACTACAGGTTCAACCCAAACCATGTTTAGTTACACAATGGTAAGACTACTGGCAACTAGAAATAGTGTACTGCTACGTTCAACATAGAATCTATAGGGCATTGATCTGCTTGACAGAGCAAACCTGCTCCAGACCCATAGCGCTCATTACAGAAACAGACTGCTCCTTGTCTTCTCCATGCCACGCCTTGATCTGCAAGAAATTCAGATGTATCAGTATCAGTACGCACGCCGTGAAAGTCATGGTGCGCAAAAAAAAACTCGGGTTCCAGTCAAATTATATCGTACCTGTGAGCGGAGAGCCTCGTCGGGGGGAAGGGGAACATCGTCCCTCGTGTCGCCCGTATCGCTCATAAGAGATAGCTGAGGCAACATGTCGCCAACGAGTCAGGACACCAAGGCCAAATGCTGAGGAACAGCAAGACACACACTATCGACACCATCCCAAAGAACCGAACGCCGACATGGATTCTAGATACCCCAAGGAATCCCTCGCTACGCTAAGTGACTTACGAAGCCTTCATCCGTAATGTGGAGGACTGTATAATCTTTGAAGTCCACTTTTGGAACCTGGGAACACAAACGACGTCGATTTAGAAACACAGACGCGGCTAACGAAGAGTGCTATGCGAATCAAACTCACCTCGACGCTGTGGGAGTGCGGCGTCATCTCTTCCCGCCTCTCATTGGTGAATATGTCAGTTGCGACAAACGTGCACTTTTTGTGACCGCTCGTCGTAGTTTTAGTAGAAACATCCACCACCTGTGGACATTCCGCCAAAAAAATGTCCCTGAATCCGATTCAGAAGGAGTCCTTTTGCCGAGGAAATGAAGGGGCAAGCGACGGAAGCGAGCAAACACCCCGACCCAATCATAGTACCTTGCAAGGCCGTCCCGAAATTACAATGTATCCGCCCTTGCGGATACTTCCAGCGTCTCTCGAGTACGTCCCCGACGATTGGGGACCATCGTCCTGAAACTCGTCAGACATGGCTGCTCGCTGCCTTCCGAAGGTGAGCAGAGAAATCCTCTAAGTATGTTCGACAAATATGATGGAGTGGTACCTAAAAAAAGAGGTATGTATGTCCCTTCAAATGTGGTGGGGTGGGGTCTGAGGTCCGAGCTCGGATCAGACGGATTAGCGAAGCAAGCCTGGCTCGCACGGCCGCGCATCTGTGGGGACTTGGTGGTGCAGGTTGTACGCACGGACGGGCAATGCGACGATAACTCCTATCCAACCCCACCTTCCACGTGGGGACTGCGCACTGGCTGAACGAACATAGTGTACTTGTCTGCACTTCCAGGAGATGTGCCCCGTGCAGCGGGTGTACTTGAATTGAAAGCCTAGCCCTTTCGCCTCTCGCACCAGGCCATGACCCACAGTCACTTGACCATCTACGATTTTACAGCGCGCACCGAGGGATACGGGACCGAGAATCCTGCCGAACAACAGTCACGTATGTGATGCTGAATGCAGGACCGCAGTCGCCTTCGTCGCCTACCCGTATTTTCTCACTGAAGTAGTTGGTTGTATATGCCTCGCAACTGTCTTCGTTTCACACTCGCCTTCTTTCAAAACCTTAGAACCCACGTGTTTCTGGCTGGCTGGTCTTGATCTGTTCGAATTTACTAATACAACCGTACCTAACCAGTCTATATGTTTTGTCACCAGCAAAGTTCTTTCAGCCGAAGCCAGTCAAGCACGAAAGAGAGTGACGGGGAGTGGGGCCACGTGGCGGGTGACGAGGCGGGAATATTGCGCAGGGTGTTCACCTCGAAATCCACGTCGACGTGGAGGGTGGACCTCAAATCCATATGGGATGGTCCGGGTTTACGTTCCAGCTCCCTTCAAGCCCACGTCTAGAATGAAAATTTTCAAGTTCAAGCTTCTTGAAACTGTCTTCGTCAAACACAAGGTAACCCGATTTGGGATGCTGCTCTCTCGCGACTCACGGGGAAGGGATTGAGGCGTAAGAAGGTGATTGGCCAACAGCACAGCAGACGAAACAGCGACGACCATCGCCAGAGAAAACAACAACTGCTTGCACTGTTCACGCTTTCAGAAACCTGAAAGTCCGGGCCACCATACTAGACTCGTCGTTCTGCCTATGTTTGCTCTCGTCGCGCTCATCTTTTGAACACACGGTATAGGTCACCCCCATGCCTCACGCCACTCCCGATCCAATCGCATGATGCGCAGAACCATCTCATCACTCCCATCACTCCCGTCACTCGCGTCGCTTCCGTCCCGCATTTCCTCTCGTGTTTCTCTTCCCCTCCCGTCCCTCTCGTCCCTCTCCGCCGCTCGCTTTCCGTCCCTCATTCGCATCGCTCACTCGCTCCCGTCGCGCACTCCCTCCCGTCGCTCGCTCAAACCCGCCGCTCACACAGGGCAGTCGCCTCATCGATCCGGCCGCTCACACACTCACACGTGACACTCACTCCCGTTCCGCACACGCCCCCGTTGCACACTAACTCCCGCCCGGCAATTCCTCTCGTCGCTCTCACTTCTCGTCCCGCGCTCACTGAATCCCGTCGCTCACCTCGTAGCGCGTGGCACTCCTTCCCGTTCCGCAAGTGCAAGCATCCCGCACTCACTACCACGCTCACTCCCGTCCCGCTTGAGATTGCAGATGTTGTACATCTTATATAGTGTATTCGCATCCAAATATAAATATATATACTTACATATATATATATACGTGTGACTTATAACAGCGCAGCGCAGCACAATTTACGTGAAAATGAGGTGGGGACTATGATGGTGGGAGGGGGCGAGGGGAGGGCGACTTGGGTCGATGACAGGGCGGGGTGGGACGAGGGGAGGGCGAGTTGGGACGAGGGGAGCGCGAGTTGGGACGAGGGGAGGGCCAGGTGGGGCGGAGGGGAGCGCGAAGGGAGCGCGAGGTGGGCCTCACTGGCTGGGGGCTCAGCCGCCGCGCTGCCAGCCACCTGCCAGCATGGCAGCGCCAGGTGTGGGGAGAGTGACGTGGAGAGGTGGGGCATCATGGTGTGTGCGCGCCACGTGGCGAGTGGGCGGCAACGCATGTGTTTGTGAACATGCACCCCACCCTCCACCCCAGCATACGACCGCCGTGCCCATCCCCCGGGGCGCGTCAGTGGGGGCGGCCATGTCTCCCCGCAACGCTCTGCTGCTGCCCGCCGCACCCGCCGCTGCTGTCAGGTACCACCCGCCTCAGGTACCACCCGCCTCAGGTACCACCCGCCTCAGGTACCACCCGCCTCAGGTAGCACCCGCCTCAGGTAGCACCCGCCTCAGGTAGCACCCGCCTCAGGTAGCACTGCTGTCGTCTCCCCTCAGCATCCCCAATTCCCCATGGTGCTGATTTTCCCACCATCCCCACAGCTCTCCTCCGCCGCTCTTCCCTTTACTGTGTGGTACCTGTGCAGCACAGGCGGTGCAGTCTTGTCCCCTTTTGCTCGCAGCAGCAGTATCACTGACGATACTGTGTGTAGAGAGGGTGTTTTTGAGACGTCTCAAAAACACCCTCTCTACACGGTGCAGTTTTGTCTCGTCCTCATTTGCTCGCAGCAGCAGTATCACTGTACGGTACGATACTGTACAGGGGGGGTGAGAGCAGGGGGGGTGAGAGCAGGGGGGGTGAGAGCAGGGGGGATGAGAGCAGAGGGGGTGAGAGCAGGGGGGGTGAGAGCAGGGGGGGTGAGAGCAGGGGGGGTGAGAGCAGGGGGGGTGAGAGCAGGGGTGGTGAGAGCAGGGGGGGTGAGAGCAGGGGGGGGTAAGAGCAGGGGGGGTGAGAGCAGGGGGGGTGAGAGCAGGGGGGGTGAGAGCAGGGGGGGTGAGAGCAGGGGGGGTGAGAGCAGGGGGGGTGAGAGCAGGGGGGGTGAGAGCAGGGGGGGTGAGAGCAGGGGGGGTGAGAGCAGGGGGGGTGAGAGCAGGGGGGGTGAGAGCAGGGGGGGTGAGAGCAGGGGGGGTGAGAGCAGGAGGGGTGGGAGCAGGGGGGGTGAGAGCAGGGGGGGTGGGAGCAGGGGGGGTGGGAGCAGGGGGGGTGGGAGCAGGGGGGGTGGGAGCAGGGGGGGTGGGAGCAGGGGGGGTGGGAGCAGGGGGGGTGGGAGCAGGGGGGGTGGGATGGGAGGTGGCTTCTCCCTTGCCCCTCCTCCCCCGCCCCCTCCTGCTGAAGCTGTTGCTGCTGCTGTTATCCCTCTTATTCCTCCTCCCACTGCCCCCTGCCTCGCCAGCACCCCATGCCTCGCCAGCACCCCATGCCCCGCCAGCACCCCATGCCCCGCCAGCACCCCATGCCCCGCCAGCACCCCATGCCTCGCCAGCACCCCATGCCCCGCCAGCACCCCATGCCTCGCCAGCACCCCATGCCTCGCCAGCACCCCATGCCTCGCCAGCACCCCATGCCTCGCCAGCACCCCATGCCTCGCCAGCACCCCATGCCCCCAAGGCCCCATGCCCCCAAGGCCCCATGCCCCCAAGGCCCCATGCGCAGCACTCTGCGACAACTGCTCCTGTGCCTGCTCCTGTGCCTGCACCCGTGCCTGCACTCATGCCTGCAGTGGGGATAGAGCAGAGAGGGAGAAGAGGTCGCGTGGTGACACGGTTGGTTGAGGAGGTGAGGGGTGGAGGAGAGATGGCGTGATGGTATGGCATGGCAGGCAGAGATGGCGTGATGGTATGGCATGGCAGGCAGAGATGGCGTGATGGTATGGCATGCATGGCAGGCAGAGATGGCGTGATGGTATGGCATGGCAGGCAGAGATGGCATGATGGTATGGCATGCATGGCAGGCAGAGATGGCGTGATGGTATGGCATGCATGGCAGGCAGAGATGGCGTGATGGTATGGCATGCATGGCAGGCAGAGATGGCGTGATGGTATGGCATGCATGGCAGGCAGAGATGGCGTGATGGTATGGCATGCATGGCAGGCAGAGATGGCGTGATGGTATGGCATGGCAGGCAGAGATGGCGTGATGGTATGGCATGCATGGCAGGCAGAGATGGCGTGATGGTATGGCATGCATGGCAGGCAGAGATGGCGTGATGGTATGGCATGGCAGGCAGAGATGGCGTGATGGTATGGCATGCATGGCAGGCAGAGATGGCGTGATGGTATGGCATGCATGGCAGGCAGAGATGGCGTGATGGTATGGCATGCATGGCAGGCAGAGATGGCGTGATGGTATGGCATGGCAGGCAGAGATGGCGTGATGGTATGGCATGGCAGGCAGAGATGGCGTGATGGTATGGCATGGCAGGCAGAGATGGCGTGATGGTATGGCATGGCAGGCAGAGATGGCGTGATGGTATGGCATGCATGGCAGGCAGAGGAGGGACGACGGCAGGCGGGGCAGCTGCATCGGCATGAGGTGTCGAATGTTAGGAGAGGGGGGACGATGCACTGGCGCAGGGACGACACACTGGCGCAGGGACGACACACTGGCGCAGGGACGATGCACTGGCGCAGGGACGATACACTGGTGCAGGGACGATGCACTGGCGCAGGGACGATACACTGGCGCAGGGACGATGCACTGGCGCAGGGACGATGCACTGGCGCAGCGACGATACACTGGCGCAGGGACGATGCACTGGCGCAGGGACGATACACTGGCGCAGGGACGATGCACTGGCGCAGGGACGATACACTGGCGCAGGGACGATACACTGGCGCAGTGACGATGCACTGGCGCAGGGACGATGCACTGGCGCAGCGACGATACACTGGCGCAGGGACGATACACTGGCGCAGGGACGATACACTGGCGCAGGGACGATGCACTGGCGCAGGGACGATGCACTGGCGCAGGGACGATGCACTGGCGCAGGGACGATACACTGGCGCAGGGACGATACACTGGCGCAGGGACGATGCACTGGCGCAGGGACGATGCACTGGCGCAGGGACGATGCACTGGCGCAGGGACGATACACTGGCGCAGGGACGATGCACTGGCGCAGGGACAGGAAGGAATGGCTGGGAGCAGTTTTTTAGTCGACTTAGCGACATGGGGAGGAGGCAGTGGTGTAGGGGTGGTGGAAGGCGGGTGGGTGAAAGTGGGTGGGGCAGGCGGCAGGGAAGGGTTGGATAGGAGAGAGGGGCGAGGGGAAGCAGCAGGGGGAGTGAGGGGGGGAGGAGGCGAGGTGAGTGGAGGAGAGCTGGCAGGAGGAGCGGGTGCAGAGGAGTGGAGATGGGTGGTGATGATGGGTGAGAGATGGGTGGGAGTCTGAGAGACGGTTGAGAGTGGGTGATGGTGGCGGTGCAAGGAACGTGTGTGCGTTGATAACCCGGCCGTGGTGTGCGTTGATAACCCGGCCGTGGTGTGCGTTGATAACCCGGCCGTGGTGTGCGTTGATAACCCGGCCGTGGTGTGCGTTGATAACCCGGCCGTGGTGTGCGTTGATAACCCGGCCGTGGTGTGCGTTGATAACCCGGCCGTGGTGTGCGTTGATAACCCGGCCGTGGTGTGCGTTGATAACCCGGCCGTGGTGTGCGTTGATAACCCGGCCGTGGTGTGCGTTGATAACCCGGCCGTGGTGTGCGTTGATAACCCGGCCGTGGTGTGCGTTGATAACCCGGCCGTGGTGTGCGTTGATAACCCGGCCGTGGTGTGCGTTGATAACCCGGCCGTGGTGTGCGTTGATAACCCGGCCGTGGTGTGCGTTGATAACCCGGCCGTGGTGTGCGTGGATAACCCGGCCGTGGTGTGCGTTGATAACCCGGCCGTGGTTGATAACCCGGCCGTGGTGTGCGTTGATAACCCGGCCGTGGTGTGCGTTGATAACCCGGCCGTGGTGTGCGTTGATAACCCGGCCGTGGTGTGCGTTGATAACCCGGCCGTGGTGTGCGTTGATAACCCGGCCGTGGTGTGCGTTGATAACCCGGCCGTGGTGTGCGTTGATAACCCGGCCGTGGTGTGCGTTGATAACCCGGCCGTGGTGTGCGTTGATAACCCGGCCGTGGTGTGCGTTGATAACCCGGCCGTGGTGTGCGTTGATAACCCGGCCGTGGTGTGCGTTGATAACCCGGCCGTGGTGTGCGTTGATAACCCGGCCGTGGTGTGCGTTGATAACCCGGCCGTGGTGTGCGTTGATAACCCGGCCGTGGTGTGCGTTGATAACCCGGCCGTGGTGTGCGTTGATAACCCGGCCGTGGTGTGCGTTGATAACCCGGCCGTGGTGTGCGTTGATAACCCGGCCGTGGTGTGCGTGGATAACCCGGCCGTGGTGTGCGTTGATAACCCGGCCGTGGTTGATAACCCGGCCGTGGTGTGCGTTGATAACCCGGCCGTGGTGTGCGTTGATAACCCGGCCGTGGTGTGCGTTGATAACCCGGCCGTGGTGTGCGTTGATAACCCGGCCGTGGTGTGCGTTGATAACCCGGCCGTGGTGTGCGTTGATAACCCGGCCGTGGTGTGCGTTGATAACCCGGCCGTGGTGTGCGTTGATAACCCGGCCGTGGTGTGCGTTGATAACCCGGCCGTGGTGTGCGTTGATAACCCGGCCGTGGTGTGCGTTGATAACCCGGCCGTGGTGTGCGTTGATAACCCGGCCGTGGTGTGCGTTGATAACCCGGCCGTGGTGTGCGTTGATAACCCGGCCGTGGTGTGCGTTGATAACCCGGCCGTGGTGTGCGTTGATAACCCGGCCGTGGTGTGCGTTGATAACCCGGCCGTGGTGTGCGTTGATAACCCGGCCGTGGTGTGCGTTGATAACCCGGCCGTGGTGTGCGTTGATAACCCGGCCGTGGTGTGCGTTGATAACCCGGCCGTGGTGTGCGTTGATAACCCGGCCGTGGTGTGCGTTGATAACCCGGCCGTGGTGTGCGTTGATAACCCGGCCGTGGTGTGCGTTGATAACCCGGCCGTGGTGTGCGTTGATAACCCGGCCGTGGTGTGCGTTGATAACCCGGCCGTGGTGTGCGTTGATAACCCGGCCGTGGTGTGCGTTGATAACCCGGCCGTGGTGTGCGTTGATAACCCGGCCGTGGTGTGCGTTGATAACCCGGCCGTGGTGTGCGTTGATAACCCGGCCGTGGTGTGCGTTGATAACCCGGCCGTGGTGTGCGTTGATAACCCGGCCGTGGTGTGCGTTGATAACCCGGCCGTGGTGTGCGTTGATAACCCGGCCGTGGTGTGCGTTGATAACCCGGCCGTGGTGTGCGTTGATAACCCGGCCGTGGTGTGCGTTGATAACCCGGCCGTGGTGTGCGTGTGTCATGAGCACAAGGTGAGGTGACTCAAATCGCTGCTTGTTATGGCAAGAAACGAGCTAAAGACGATGGCATATTTTACCGTGAATGTAAAGTCGGCTTGAGAGCAATCCAGCTGCTTTTCAGATTCTGCACCCATTCAAGGTGGGTTGTGAGTGGGTTGTGACCAGCGTGCACGTTGAGTCAGGTGCCTCGTTTCCAGTCCCGTGGCTTGGATGGCCAATGCTGGCTGTTTTTGAGGCACCTCAAGGAGCGAGTCAATGCGAGTCAACGCGAGTCAATGCGAGTCAATGCGAGTCAACGCGAGTCAATGCGAGTCAATGCGAGTCAACGCGAGTCAACGCGAGTCAAGCGAGTCAACGCGAGTCAATGCTGATTTGGCACAAGTTTGACCCGACTCCCTGCTCATGCCATGCGTTCCTAATTTTCACCTCTCTAGCTAGCAGCACTGCGCTCCGCATGCCTGCTGCTTATGTGCCTGCCCCCCCTGCCCCTTCTTCAAAACCCCCTTGCTTCAACCCTCGTCACCCCCTCTCGTTTCCAATCCACCCTCCTTCCCCAGCTATCAGCAGTGCATTCCGTGCGTCTGCTGCCTGTGTGCCCCCCCGCCCTGCCGCTGCCACCACGTGTGTGTGAGGGAGGGGAGGCCTTGCCGTGGTCCTCCCACAGGCTTGGGCGGCAGCATGCTGGGCGGCAGCAGGCTGGGCGGCAGCTGGCAGGGTGGCAGCAGTGAGCAGTGGAAGATAATGCGGGTGGGAGAGAGAGGAGGGCCCAAAATGGGTAGATTTGGTGGGAGAGAGAGGAGGGCCCAAAATGGGTAGATTTGGTGGAGTCTAGGGCCCAAACGCGGCTCTGTCCTTTGCCCTTGCTCTCTGGGAGTAGGTAGATTGGAGGATGGACATGTAGTGTGGGAGGATGATAGGAGTGAGAATGTAGGTGAGTTTCATGCGAGGAAGGAAAAGGACAAGGAAGGCCGTTGGTGGTGGGAGTGAGAGGGAGGAGGAGGAAGAGTGTGAGACGGACGAAGAGGAGAAAGAAAGGAACACACATGGGGAGGAAGAAGAGAGAGGGGGTGATGGAGAGGCGGGAGGGGTTTCAGCAGATTAGGGAATGGGTGAGCAGTGCGCAGTGAGGGAGGGCAGGAAGGGTGGTGGCGGCACCTGCCTGAGGAATTGAGTGAGGAAGAGCAGGAAGGGGGGAAGGAGGGGTGTGGTGGAGGGGTGCTGTGGTGGAGGGGTGCTGTGGTGGAGGGGTGCTGTGGTGGAGGGGTGCTGTGGTGGAGGGGTGCTGTGGTGGAGGGGTGCTGTGGTGGAGGGGTGCTGTGGTGGAGGGGTGCTGTGGTGGAAGATGGGGCTGGGAGGTGGGGAGATGAGATGGGACGACCAACGAGGAGAGTGTGAGAGAGTGAATGGTGCGAGCATGGAAGGGAGTGATGAGAGTGATGAGGATTTGGAAGCAAACGAGAGGGAGGGGGGAGGGGGGGCAAAGAGCAGTGAGTTGAGAAGTGCAACGGACGAGGCAGATGGGGACGCGTGGTTGCAAGGCGATGATGGAGGGACTGGGGCGTGGAGGGAGGGGTGTGGATGGGATGGGATGATGAGGACGAGCGGGCAGAGAAGGTTGCCCGTGAGGACGAGTGGCAGGAGGAGGGGCGTGCGTTGACCTTTCTGCACGAGGAGAGAAATGGCAGCAGCTGGGAGGGGAGCAGGTGGACGCAGCGCAGGGCGTGTGGGGCGTGTGGGGCGTGTGGGGCGTGTGGGGTGTGTGGGGTGTGTGGGGCGGGGCGTGTGGGGTGTGTAGGGCGTGTGGTGTGGGGTGTGTGGGGCATGCCGATGGCTAGATCCTGAGGCTCTTTTTCAGCCCAACACCTCTCAATACCAAGTGTTACGAGTGCAATGGAGTGATCAAGAGAGATCGGCAATATTGAATAATACAATATGCGAAGTCATGAACGAATTGTTATATAGAGAAAGCATTTCGAAAATGGTAACGCGCTCGAGAGAGGGTGCCCTACGGGCCTGATGCAGAGTTTGGGAAATGTCAAGGCTACTAGGTTGCGGGTTAACTGTGTCAGAAACTAACAGGCAGGAATGAATGCATTGACATCAAACTGAGTACAAGTGCTAACCCTAATGGGTTATACCCCATATAGGCTACCCCACTACAACCTACACAACATAAGCAGCATTATAGTTTGACACACCCCCATAGGCAAAGTAGCAGGGTCGTCCCTAGGGTCTGAGGTACGGTATGTCTGATGCATCAGATGGGTCCCCCGGGCAAAAAAAAAGTTTTGTCTGATGGTGACTGGCCCATCAGATTTATCCAAAAAAACATGTCTGAGTATCAGCCAAACAGACAAAAAAGGTCTGCTAGCGACGACCCTGCAAACTAGGGGAGAACAAGGGGTCACAAGACCAGTCAAGAAAAACAAAGCAAGCTCAGGGTGGATCACGAAGTCACCACACACTCTGAGCACAAGCAAATCGCCACAAGGCCGGTCCACATGCAGAGTTATATAAAAGATAGCAAATAGTACAGTGATCTCTACATAGCAAGAGGAAGCATGTATGTATATATATAGGTCACAGTACAAACAAAGTCAAGCAGTGAGCAAGTGAGGCAAAGCAGGCACAAGGTGTCAAATTATATATGCATGTTTAGGTTATCTAGGCTGTATGGGGGTTAGCACTAGGGGGTACAACATTTTCTCTCGACATTCTTCTTGTACCCCCCCCCTTGACCTAATCATCCATGCCTAAGATTCTAAGACGGTATCTAGAGCAATAGATCTTTAGGACCTAAGATTAGGGCCCACCCGTTACCACGTTACCTTGCCTGCCTTGCCTGCTGCCCGCGCGCGCCTCGGCTGCACGCGCGCGGCCCCTTTTTTTCCCGCGCGCGCCACTTAAGCAGCCCGCGCGCAGCCCGTTTAGGCCCGTTTAGGCCCGTTTTCGGCCCCGCGCGAAACGTCAGCCGCCCGCGCAGCCTGCCGCCGGCCCGCGCGTCGCGTAAGCCGCCCGCGCGCAGCCCGCTTAGGCCCTGCGCGCCGCGTCCGCCGCCCGCGTAGCCCGTTTTCGGCCCCGCGCGCTACGTCAGCCGCCCGCGCAGCCTGCCGCCGGCCCCGCGCGTCGCCTCCTCCGGTGACGGCGCGCTGCCCCCCGTCGTCCGTCACGGCGCCTGTGGGACCCGCGCGCTGCCCTGCACCAGCTACGCCGCCCCTGGAGCAACCGCCCCTGGCCCCTGAAGCAGCCGCCCCTGGTGCAGCCGCCCCTGGACCCTCGAGCAGCCGCCCCTGGACCCAGAGCAGCCGCCCCTGGCCCCTGAAGCAGCCGCCCCTGGAGCAGCCGCCCCTGGACCCAGAGCAGCCGCCCCTGGCCCCTGAAGCAGCCGCCCCTGGTGCAGCCGCCCCTGGACCCTCGAGCAGCCGCCCCTGGACCCAGAGCAGCCGCCCCTGGCCCCTGCAGCAGCCGCCCCTGGAGCAGCCGCCCCTGGACCCCGAGCAGCCGCCCCTGGACCCCGAGCAGCCGCCCCTGGCCCCTGAAGCAGCCGCCCCTGGTGCAGCCGCCCCTGGACCCTTGAGCAGCCGCCCCTGGACCCAGAGCAGCCGCCCCCCGGCCCCTGAAGCAGCCGCCCTTGGTGCAGCCGCCCCTGGACCCTCGAGCAGCCGCCCCTGGACCCAGAGCAGCCGCCCCTGGCTCCTAAAGCAGCCGCCCCTGGACCCTCGAGCAGCCGCCCCTAGACCCAGAGCACCCGCCCCTGGCCCCTGAAGCAGACGCCCCTGGTGCAGCCGCCCCTGGACTTCGTGCAGCCGCCCCTGGACCCCGCGACGCCGCCCCTGGACCCGCGACGTCGCCCCTGGACCCCGTGCAGCCGCCCGCCGAGCGCCGGCCCTGCTCGCCCGGCGAGCGCCTGCTCTTCCCGCCACTGGTGAGCACCTGCCTTGTTAGTGCGCTGCCGCGCCATCTGCCTGCCTGCCAGCCTGCCTGCCTGCCTGCCTGTCTGCCTGCCTGCCTGCCTGCCTGCCTGCCGCGCCTGCCCTGCCCGCGCTGCTACTGCTGCTACTTCTGTTACTACTGCTAGGCTACTGCTACTGCTACTGCTGCTACTGGCGGTGGCCAGATGCAGCTCCAGCGACGTCCACGCGAGTCTCACCCGCCCCAGCAGCTTCGTGAGTGGTACGCTAGTTGGGGTTGTGGCGGTAGCCGTCGTAGCTGTCGCCTTAGAGCTGGTCAGTTGGGAGCGTCTGGCAGTGGCCAGCTGCAGCTGCAGCGGCGTCCACGCAAGACACTTACTTCCCAGCAGCTTCACGAGTGGTACGCTCAGAGTAGAGGGTCTTTGAGTACCGTTCGCTGCCCGTACGTCATTCGCACAGGTGATCGGGCTGGTCAGGCTTGCGGGACGCTTAGTCACACACAGTCCCGCTGCTTCGCCCGTCTGAGCGACGCCTGGCGTACCGAGTTTGGCGACGAGGCTGAGCTCCCCACCTGGCTGGAGCTGCTTAGGCAGAGGGTAGATATCTTTGCTCTTGACTATGATGCTATTCTCACTGCCATGTATGCATTGCCTACTAGTGTTGACGGTGCCTGTTACCTGTGCGTACCGCCTGACCCAGGTATAGAGCCTGCTGCTCTAGGTGCTGGTGAGGCTGCTGCCCTAGGTGCTGGTGAGGCTGCTGCTCCAGGTGCTGGTGAGCCTGCTGCTCTAGGTGCTGGTGCTGGAGGTGCTGCTGGTGCTGCTGGAGGTGCTACTAGTGCTGGAGCTGCTGGAGGTGCTACTGGTGCTGGAGGTGCTGGAGGTGCTGGTGCTGCTGGCGCAGGAGCTGCTGGTGGTGCTGCTGGAGGTGCTGCTGGTGCTGGAGCTGCTAGAGACGCTGCTGGTGCTGGAGGTGCTGCTGGTGCTGCTGGAGGAGCTGTTGGAGCTGCTGGAGGTGCTGCTGGTGCTGGAGCTACTGGAGGTACTGCTGGTGCTGGAGCTGCTGGAGCCGCAGGTTCTGGAGGTGCTCGTGCTGGAGGTCCTGGAGCTGCTGGTGCTGCTGGTGGTGCTGCGGGAGTTGTAGCTGGAGACCCTGGGGCTGAGGGTGCTGGTGCTGTCTCTGCTGGTTCAGGAGGTGCTGAGCGGCCGCGGCCGTACTTCGTTCCGCTCCTTCAGCAGGTTCTTGGCCTTCCGCCCTCTCCTGGTCCTACTCCTCCCCTACTGAGTCCACCGCCTGTCCAGTCGCAGTCACAGTTACAGCCAGCCCCTCCACTGCCTGGTCCTTCTCCTTACGCTGAGCCGACGGGAGGTCTTACGGAGCGTCGTGAGCCTCAGTCTCGTCCTCCGTCGCCTGAGTCTCGTCCAGAGTCGTCTGAGTCGCGTCCAGAGTCGCCTGTCCGCGCTGTCCGCGCTGGTCGTCGTGCTCCGCGTCAGCGTCCTCCTCCTGTCCTTGGCACTCACTATATGACCCTGCGTCCTTCCACTGCTCCACAGCGTGTCCCTCTGCCGTCTCCTCCAGCGTCCTCTCTTCCTGCTCTTGCTGACCCGGAGTCTGACTCTCTTCGTGCTGCCAGCCCTACTGTCACGCGTCTCCTCGCCACTGTTGTCACTGACCCTTCCTTTGAGTCCTCTGCTGCGTCTGCTCTAGTCGCTGAGCTTGTTGACTTTGCTGCCGCCTGTCGTCTAGACTACGCCGCTAGCCTTGTTGCTGAGTCTGACTCTGTCTGTCCTCCGTCCGTCGAGGGTGAGTGTGCCCTTGGCACGGACGTCCTTGAGGACAGACAGGAGGAGTTTGAGTGCTTTGCCGCTGCTTTACCTCATCTCGTGTCCATGCTGATTGCCCCTGAGGGAGACCCGGATGCACCAGACATCCCGACCCCACGCTCTTACGCAGAGGCGATGGAGGGTCCCTACTCCTCTCAGTGGCAGACAGCCATGGACGCAGAGATGGCTTCCTGGAAGTCCACAGGCACCTACGTAGACGAGGTTTCCCCACCTGGGGCGAACATCGTCAGTGGCATGTGGATTTTCAGGGTGAAGCGGCCGCCGGGTTCTCCGCCTGTCTTCAAGGCGCGTTACGTTGCACGAGGCTTCAGTCAGCGTGAGGGAGTTGACTTCTTCCAGACCTTCTCCCCTACCCCGAAGATGACCACTCTTCGGGTTCTGCTGCACGTCGCCGCTCAGCGTGACTACGAGCTCCACTCTCTTGACTTCAGCACTGCGTTCCTACAGGGCAGCCTGCACGAGGAGATCTGGCTGTGCCGCCCACCTGGCTTCACTGGGTCGTTCCCTCCTGGTACCCAGTGGAGCCTCCGGCGGCCAGTCTACGGTCTCCGCCAGGCACCCCGTGAGTGGCACGACACACTGAGGACTACTCTTTCTGCTCTTGGGTTTGCTCCCTCTACTGCTGACCCGTCGCTGTTTCTACGCACCGACACCACTCTGCCGCCATTCTACGTTCTCGTGTACGTAGACGACTTGGTCTTTGCTACTGCAGACATTGAGGCACTCGCCCACGTGAAGTCGGAGCTGCAGAAGAGACACACGTGCACAGACCTGGGTGAGCTGACAAGCTATCTTGGCTTGCGGATCACCCGGGACAGAGCACAGCGCACCATCACCTTGACTCAGTCACACATGGTGCAGCAGGTCCTTCAGCGCTTCCGCTTCACGTACTCCTCGCCTCAGCCCACTCCTCTGCCTACCTGTCACTCGCTCTCAGCTCTGCCTTCGGATGAGTCCGTAGAGCCGAGTGGCCCGTATCCAGCGCTTGTGGGCTGCCTCATGTACCTGATGACCTGCACTCGACCTGACCTTGCATACCCTCTTAGCATCCTAGCACGCTATGTCGCTCCTGGCCGTCACCGGAAGGAGCACATGGATGCAGCTAAGAGGGTGTTGCGCTACTTGTGCAGTATGTCGGGCATGGGGCTTGTGCTTGGAGGACGGACTCGAGTTGTTCTCACTGGGCACTCAGACGCTTCTTGGGCTGACGACCAGGCTACGCAGCGGTCGTCTTAGGGTTACACCTTCAGCCTTGGCTCTGGTTCAGTTTCTTGGCGTTCTACTCGCTCGTCTTCAGTTCTCAGCTCCAGTTGTGAGGCTGAGATCTACGCCACAGCCATGGCTGCACAGGAGTTACGCTGGCTCACCTACCTGCTTACCGACCTGGGAGAGCGGCCTCGTTCTCCTCCAGTGCTGTACGTCGACAACAAGGCCGCCCTTGCCTTGTGTCAGGAGCACAGACTGGAGCACAGAACGAAGCACATCGCTCTGCGCTACTTCCTTGCTCGAGAGCTGCAGCAGCGTGGTCAGCTTCGTCTTGCGTACGTGGCCACTCGGGCCAACACTGCTGATGTGTTCACCAAGGCGCTTCAGCCTTGTGATCATCAGCGTTTCTGTACTGTTCTAGGCCTTGTGCCTACTGTGCCTCACTTGCTTACTTCTTGACTCTGCTTGTACTGTGATCTCTATATATATACCTGCATGCTTACTCTTGCTAGGTTGTGATCACTGTACCTCTTGTTATTTTATCAAACTGCATGTGAACTGGTCTTGTGACCGCTTGCTTGTGCTCGGAATTTGTGTGGTATCCTTGAGATCCACCCTGAGCTTGTTTTACTTTGCTTTGCTTTGACTGGTCTTGTGACCATCTGGTTGTCTCCCACTTAGCCTATGGGGGTGTGTCAAACATTGTATATGTTTATATTCTGTAGGCTATAGTGGGTTTAGCCTTAGGGGGTACAACATTCTAGGGTTTCCTACTTGTACTCCCAATGTTGTTAGTTCAACCACCCTTGTTGATTCTGACAGTCGTCACCCTTGGGGGCGTCACCAACATCCTCCTCTACACCGGGGTCATTAACAAACACAAGGGGGCCCGTATGACGATCAGTAGCGAATCTTGAGCGTCGGCCGCTCCGGTGCACTATTTCTGCCGCTTTCGAAAACCAAGGGGCGGTCTTGGATGCCCACTTCGAGTACCTAGGCCATATGTTGAGCCTCTCAAGCTTCTCCACGATTCCGAGCTGAAGTTTACAAAGGGGAATAAAGGTAGATGTGTTGGATAGTGCTTTTCTGATCAGAGCGAAAAGATGGTTACATGTGGGATAGGGAGGTGGCATCCAAGTAGCTACACCAAACATTACGTACTTGGAATGAGTAGAACTCTGGAACTTACTTCGGGAGGTGGGTTGAAGAAGTCCTTCTCAGGGTCGTAGCTGACGCCGGCTTTGATTAGGCTCTGCAGGTACCGGATATCCTTCACCCAGCGTTTAACCACCCTTATGTGAATCTGCAGCTGCTCGAGATTGTACAAGTGCGGGCCATGCATCTCCACCCATTTGTCATATATTTCTGCCCATTTCGTGATGATGGCGTGCGGGGCGGAGCCATTCTCGACCTGAGTCTCAATGACTATATTGAGTAGATCGTAGGTGAGATTATCGTTCCAAGGATGACGTCCCGTCTCTACGGTCTCACTTTCAACAACGTCGCCACTATCATCTACTTCCGAATACGAGGGGAGTGGAAAATCGGTCACCGAAGGCGAGTTCGCAGCTCCTGGGTGCACGGGCGCAGTAGTGGCGCGACGGGCCATGGAAGGCCCGTTTCTACGAGCTAGTGATACCGGGGGTGCAAGAGGCGCGGTGCTAGCAGGAACAGCGATTCGCGCAGTCGTTTGGCTCTCACGTTGCCGGGAGAGGCTCTCCTCCCAAGCAGTCCACTCCTGCAGAGTCGCAAGTATGTTTGGGCGGTTCATGGCGAATCGCTGGTTGTCTAAGCCTATTGAGGCCTAAGACTGTCGCGATTGTGCTAAGGAGTAGGAATGTGCGTGCTTATGGGATTGCGCACGATTTCGACCAAGTCATGTGCAGGGGGCATTTCGAAGGTGTGTTTGGGAGGGAAAAATGGGGGGTATTCGAACCCCCCTTTGCTAAACAAATGGCTCGTTCAGAGGTTCCCCTCTGAACGGCAATGCGACGGCTATGCCACCGCTGTCCTTTGAAAAACGGGGCATGACGATGGCATGGCTTGGGGATGGTATTTTGCCGGGGGACGAAGTTGCGTCCCCGCTACCATATGCCGTCGAACCGTTAGATTTGGTGGACAAATGGGGGCGTTCGCCAGACGCCCACTTTGGTTGTTGGTTTGGATGGTAGGGGAGGCTCGGCACCTTTTTCACGGGCTGACTAGGCTGACGGAGGTAAACGAACCCTAACTGACGGGATCAGGAAGGCGAGACCCACCTTCCTGATCCTGTCGTTATCCCGTGGTTTTTGGCTTCACAGGTGCTGGCGAACAGCCCCATAGATTTAGGTTTTCAACAACCCCAACGTAGCTCCCCCGCTTGGGCTACAGAAGAGCACTACCTCGCCCGGAATACGGTGCACCAAATTTCCGCTGAAACACTTGTAGAAGTAGAAAATAAAACATCTTTGAAAGGTGGGCTTAGTTGCTTGTGTTTTTGCCAAGTTTCGCTTTGTCCATCTCAACAACAGCGGTTCTTACAAGCCTCGACTCCCAGGAATCAGCCATAAATGCGGGAGGAAGCTCGATTTCACGCAGGCTCCTCGCCTCGCCTCACCCCTGCCTCATGTCGTGCCTTGCCCAGCGGGGCTCCTCCTTCTCTTGCCCTTACAAGGTCCAATCGCCAAATCGGCACATCGCCAAATCGCCACATCGCCAATCGCCAATCACCATCGCAATTCAATGCGCGAATCACGGCAAGATCTGCAGAAGGACCGGCGGTGCTCCTGGCCGACACGCGGCAACTTGAGCGACGCGAGGAAACTGCCACGGCGGATGGGCGAGGAGCAGAGGCGTTGACAGCAGAAGGAATTGAGGCGACGGGCGAGATTGGGGAGAGAGGCGAGGCGGAGCCGGTGGGCAGGATGAGCGGGATGGGCGAGGCAGAAGGGGTAGGGCAGGCGGTGGCGGTGGGGGCCGGGGTGGGCGAGGAGGAGCAGCAGAGCATGGCGCAGGCAGTGCTGCTGCCCGCCCTGGGCGCCGGTGTCACACGCCTTCATGCATGGGCTGAACCACACTGAGGTGTGTTCAACCGCAATCAACCACAGCACCAAGGCGGGTTGACGTGTGTGACCTGGCGCCTTGCGACTTGTGTGCGTTAACATGCCAAACTAGCATGACAGCTTGAATCCGCTTTTTCATTCCCAACCTTGAGTCAAATACTGAATATGATGAGGATTGTAAGGTTTCTGTTGGATACTTATTTCCCCCCCTCCACTCGTTCTCTCTTTTTCCTCCAAACCCCTGCTGCGCTGTTCCCCATCCGCCCCTCCACGCCCCCACCCACCATCAGATGATCCGCGCTCACAAGCTCACCTCACCAACGTTATCGTGCACCGCCCTCCCCACGGTACCACTGCTGGCACCCCCCCCCAAACCCCCTGTGCTGCCCTCCCCCCCAAATTGTGTGTCCGCTGCTTCCTCCCCCCCTGTGCGCTCGTGCTTGCCTCCATGCGCTCATGCTTCTTGTGATCATGCGTCCAAAATCTCTTTCGAACGGTCCTTTGTATCGTTTCACAGGAGGATGCAGACACTCAGGTGAGTACAAGCAAGCAATACAGAAGAGAAATTCCCGAGAGGCTCGAGAGGGGGGGGACGTGGCTTCAGCCAGAGCGCCGAGGAGAGGCTCGAGAGGGGAGGGTTGGGTTGTCTACTTGGGCTGCCATGCCATGCCATGCCAGGTTGCATTCAGTCAGGTACCCGACTAATGCCGCCCATGCTGTAATGCAGAGGCCTTGGCAGCCCACCTGTTCCGTGTGTTGACCAGTCTTGCAAGTGACTAGCGTTGGTCAGATAGATACCCCTCCAGGCTTGCGAGGACGTCACAGATGGGACTCTCGTGCTGATGGGGTCCGTGCCTGTCATGTCACAGATGGGGTCCGTGCCTGTCATGTCACAGATGGGGTCCGTGCCTGTCATGTCACAGATGGGGTCCGTGCCTGTCATGTCACAGATGGGGTCCGTGCCTGTCATGTCACAGATGGGGTCCGTGCCTGTCATGTCATAGATGGGGTCCGTGCCTGTCATGTCACAGATGGGGTCCGTGCCTGTCATGTCACAGATGGGGTCCGTGCCTGTCATGTCACAGATGGGGTCCGTGACCGTCTTGTCATGTCACAGATCCATACGACTCCCCACCCGAGGACCTGTTGGAGTCATTTTTTTTTTTTTTTTTTTTTAACTCTAAGATAACTCCCTCCCAGGAGGTCTGTGGCATGCTCGTGGACGGGGCATCCCCAAGGTCAGGAGCATGCCCCGTCTATGACCTGGGGCAAAGACCTGAGGTTTGTTTACAGATGATAAAACGCGCATCATGGGCCATCCATCCGGACCTGATGCTCTCATCCCTCACCTCATTCTCTTTCAAGCGGTCCTTGTATTAGATCCCAACTAGTACAGACATGCACGTGGGTATATAGCTTGCATTTATATCCTACCCACTATCGTGCTCCATGTAAGGGAGCTCTAGCTTGCATATTGTTATCTTTCTCTCTCTCTTCTACTCCTTGCCCCCATTACTCCCCTCAAGGCATGCAGGCAGCGCGGAGCCTGGGAGAGGGCAGGTGGGAGCACATCTTAGAGTCGTCTCAGGACTCTCGCGTCCTCTATCGCTCTCTCTCCCCCCTCCATCACCGCAACCCCTCTCATCTCAGGGCATGATAGCAGCAGCACGGAGCCTGGGTGAGGGCAGGTAGGTGCACATTTTCCCCGAGGGCTCTCGCTCGCTGGATGGTGGGTACAAGATTGGCCCCATGCGGCGAGGCGTGGCGCGGTGAGAGAAACATGAATCAAAGCGAAACGTGGCCCGGGGGGTGGGGGAAGGGGGGGGGGGAGAGGGGGTGGGGGGTGGGGTTGGGTGAGAGTGGGAGGGGGGGGGAAAGCTGAAGTGTGGGGGCGGGATAAGCATGACTCAAAGCGCGGATGGCTGCGTCTTTCCCCAAAGGCACTCGCTCACTGTTGGCTGTTGGACCCATGCGGCTCGGCGTTGCGTGCTCACTGTTATTCCCCATGGGCACTCGCTCGCTGGATGGCGGGTGCACCATTGAAGCCATGCGACGTGGCGTGGTGAGGTAAGGAGAGGCAAGGGGGGAAGGGAGGCGAGAAGGGGGTGCGAGGGGGTGAAGTGGGGATGGGGGGTATGGGAGGTGGTAGCGAAGCTGGACTTGGAGGAGGGGAGGATGGGGCGAGGATGGGGTCAGGATGGGTTGAGGGCGGTGTAATATAATAAGGGCGAATGTAGTAGTTCATGTGGGATGCTGCATGTGGGATGCTGCATGTGGGATGGTGGTGCAAGTGGGATGGTGCATTTGGGATGGTGGTGCATGTGGGATGGTGTTGCATGTGGGATGGTGCATTTGGGATGGTGGTGCATGTGGGATGGTGGTGCATGTGGGATGGTGGTGCATGTGGGATGCTGCATGTGTGGATGGTGGTGCATGTGGGATATGTGTGTGCTGCAATTAGTCTTTCGATTGTTCGTCACACCTTTCTGCTGGTGCTCACCTCCCTTCCCGCCCATCACCCCCACTCATCACCCCCCCCCATCGATAATTCCCAGGCTGTCTGCACACCCACTCATTAACTCCCCCACCCATCCTCCCTTCCCCCCAATCTCCCTCTCCCCCCGACCCCCCTCCTCTCCCCCGAACCCCCCCCCCCCCCTTCTTCCCCCCCCCCTCCCCCCAGGGTAACAGCGCAGTGGGCAGTGCCTCCCCTCATCATCTCCCCCACGCACTCCCTCTCCCCCCCATACCCACCCTCCCCCCCGTTACCCCTCCTCCCCCTTGGTTCCCCTAGGCTGGCAGCGCAGTGCGCAGTGCCGCCACTCAACTCCCTCGCTCACCCCCTGTTCCTCCCCCCCCTTTCCCATGGCTCCCCAGGCTGGCAGCGCAGTGCACTGTGCCGCCCCTTATCATTCCAGTGGTGCATGTCGGCATGAAAGCGTGCAAGCTAGATGACAAACGCTGCCGAATTTCCATTCATGCCCATCCATTCTCAACCGTCCACCATTCACAATACCTCCACATCCCTTTCCACCCTTCACTGCTCCCTTGGTCACCACCCATCCTCCATCTCCTCTCACTTTATTCATTCTATGAACGTTGCCAATCTGTACTCCTCCTGACCACTCTCGCCAACCACAGCACACCCAGCATTGGTGTGGGATGTCCCCTCCTCCCATCCCGCTTTCCTTCTGCACCTGCTGCCTGCCTCCCTGCCCTCCCTACCCTACCTGCCCTTCCACTTACCACCGTGCCGTCCCTACCGATTCTCCCGTCCCTCCCCTCGCCTGCCCTTTCCCCCTCCTGCCCTCCCTTTCCCCCTCCTGCCCTCCCTTTCCCCCTCCTGGCCTCCCTTTCCCCCTCCTGCCCTCCCTTTCCGCCTCCTGCCCTCCCTTTCCCCCTCCTGCCCTCCCTTTCCGCCTCCTGCCCTCCCTTTCCCCCTCCTGCCCTCACTTTCCCCCTCCTGCCCTCCCTTTTCCCCTCCTGCCCTCCCTCTTGCCCTCCCTTTCCCCCTCCTGCCCTCCCTTTCCCCCTCCTTCCCTCCCTTTCCCCCTCCTGCCCTCCCTTTCCCCTTCCTGCCCTCCCTTTCCCCTTCCTGCCCTCCGTTTCCCCCTCCTGCCCTCCCTTTCCCCCTCCTGGCCTCCCTTTCCCCCTCCTGCCCTCCCTTTCCCCCTCCTGCCCTCCCTTTCCCCCTCCTGGCCTCGCTTTCCCCCTCCTGCCCTCCCTTTCCCCCTCCTGCCCTGCCGTTCCCCCTCTTGCCCTCCCTTTCCCCTTCCTGCCCTCCCTTTCCCCCTCCTGTCCTGCCCTCCCTTTCCCCTTCCTGCCCTCCCTTTCCCCTTCCTGCCCTCCCTTTCCCCCTCCTGCCCTCCCTTTCCCCCTCCTGGCCTCCCTTTCCCCCTCCTGCCCTCCCTTTCCCCCTCCTGCACTCCCTTTCCCCTTCCTGCCCTCCCTTTCCCCTTCCTGCCCTCCCTTTCCCCCTCCTGCCCTCCCTTTCTGTGAGAGTAGTATGAAGGTATGATGAGGATTAGGGCAAGGAGGGGGATACAAAGAAGTGTCGAGCAAAATTCTGTACCCCCTAAGGCTAAACCCACTACAGCCTAGATAACATTAAACATATAATTTGACACACCCCCATAGGCGAAGTGGGGGATAGCCAACACAAGAAACGGTCACAAGACCAGTCAAGAGAAGAAACAAAACAAAACAAGCTCAGGGTGGATCACAACGTCACCACGCATTCTGAGCACAAGCACAAGGCCACAAGGCCAGTTCACAAGCATAGATATATATCAAGGTGAACAAGCAAGGCAGTGATCTCAACCTAGCAAGGGTAAGCATGCAGGTGCAGGTATATATAGATCACAGTACAAGCAAAGTCAAGAAGTGAGCAAGTGAGGCCAAGTAGGCACAAGACCTAGCATAGTAGAAAAGCGCTGATGATCACAAGGCTGAAGTGCCTTGGTGAAGATATCAGCGGTGTTGGCCCGAGAGGCCACGTAAGCAAGGCGCAGCTGACCACGCTGCTGCAGCTCACGAGCAAGGAAGTAGCGAAGAGCAATGTGCTTCGTTCTGTGCTCCAGTCTGTGCTCCCGACACAAGGCCAGCATGGCCTTGTTGTCTACGTACAGAACTGGAGGAGAACGAGGCGGCTCTCCCAGGTCAGTCAGCAGGTAGGTGAGCCAGCGTAACTCCTGTGCAGCCATGGCCCCTGCGTAGATCTCAGCCTCACAGCTGGAGCTGAGAACAGAAGACGAGCGGGTAGACCGCCAAGAAACAGAGCCGGAACCAAGGCTGAAGGTGTAACCCTGTGACGACCGCTGCGTAGCCAAGTCGTCAACCCAAGACGCGTCTGCGTGACCAGTGAGTACCACTGAACTCCGCCCTCCAAGCACGAGCCCCATGCCCGACGTACTGCACAAGTAGCGCAACACCCTCTTAGCTGCATCCATGTGCTCTGGTCGGTGTCTCCCAGGAGCAACATAGCATGCCAGGATGCTAAGAGGGTATGCCAGGTCAGGTCTAGTGCAGGTCATCAGGTACATGAGGCAGCCGACAAGCTCTGGGTACGGGCCACTCGGCTCTACGGACTCATCCGAAGGCAGAGCTGAGAGCGAGTGGCGAGTAGACAGAGGAGTGGCCTGAGGCGAGGAGTACGTGAAGTTGAAGCGCTGAAGGACCTGCTGCACCATGTGTGACTGAGTCAAGGTAATGGTGCGCCGTGCTCTGTCCCGGGTGATTTGCAAACCAAGATAGCTGCGCAGCTCACCCAGGTCTGTGCACGTGTGTCTCTTCTGCAGCTCCGACTTCACGTGAGCGAGTCCAGCAGTGTCAGCAGTAGCAAAGACCAAGTCGTCGACGTACACGAGGATGTAGAACGGTGGCAGCGAGGTGTCGGTGCGTAGAAACAGCGACGGGTCAGCAGTAGAAGGAGCAAACCCAAGAGCCGCAAGCGTAGTCCTCAGTGTGTCGTGCCACTCGCGGGGAGCCTGGCGGAGACCGTAGACTGGCGCCGGAGGCTCCAGTGGGTACCAGGAGGAAACGACCCAGTGAAGCCAGGAGGTCGGCGCAGCCAGATCTCCTCGTGCAGGCTGCCCTGTAGGAAAGCAGTGCTGAAGTCAAGAGAGTGAAGCTCGTAGTCACGCTGAGCGGCTATGTGCAGCAGCACCCGAAGAGTGGTCATCTTTGGGGTGGGAGAGAAGGTCTGAAAGTAGTCAACTCCCTGCCGCTGACTGAAGCCTCGAGCCACGTAACGCGCCTTGAAGACAGGCGGAGAACCAGGCGGCCGCTTCACCCTGTAAATCCACATGCCACTGACGATGTTCGCCCCAGGTGGGGGAACCTCGTCAACGTAGGTGCCTGTGGACTTCTAGGAAGCCATCTCTGCGTCCATGGCTGTCTGCCACTGAGAGGAGTAGGGACCCTCTATCGCCTCTGCGTAAGAGCGCGGAGTCGGGATGTCTGGTGCATCCGGGTCTCCCTCAGGGGCAAGCAGCATGGACACGAGATGAGGTAAAGCAGCAACAAAGCACTGGAACTCCTCTTGCCTGTCCTCAAGGACGTCCGTGCCAAGAGCACACTCACCCCCGACGGACGGAGGACAGACAGACTCAGACTCAGCAACAAGACTCGCGGCGTAGTCTAGACGACAGAAAGCAGCGAAGTCTACAAGCTCAGCAACTAAGGCAGACGCAGCAGTGGACTCAAAGGAAGGGTCAGTGACAACAGTAGCCAGAAGACGCGTGACAGTAGGACTGGCAGCACGAAGGGAGTCAGACTCCGGGTCAGCAAGAGCAGGAAGAGAGGACTCTGGATGAGACGGCAAAGGGACACGCTGTGGAGCAGTGGAAGGACGCAGTGCCATCTGGTGCGTGCCCGGGACCGCAGGAGGACGCTGACGTGGAACACGACGACCAGTGCGAGCAGCACGAACAGGCGACGCAGGACGAGACTCAGGCTCACGACGCTCAGCAAGACCTCCAGTAGGACCAGTGTAGGGAGGAGGAGCAGGCAGTGGGGAGGCGAGCTGTAACTGTGACTCGGACTGGACAGGCGGTGGATACTCTAAGGTAGGAGCAGGACCAGTAGAAGGTGGGAGACCAAGAACCTGCTGAAGGAGCGGAACGAAGTACGGCCGCGGCCGCACAGCGCCTCCAGCACCAGAAGGGACAGCACCAGCACCCCCAGCGTCAGCACCAACGCCAGTAGCACCACCAGCTATAGCAGCACCCCTAGTAGCTCCAGAGCGCCAACTCCAACACCCCAAGAAGCACCAGCTCCAGTAGCACCTCCAGCAGCACCTACGCCAGCAGCACCTCCAGCTCCAGCACCAGCAGCACCACAAGGCCCAGCAGCTCCAGTACCGCCGGTACGAGCACCTCCGGGACCCGTGGCTCCAGAACCTCCAGCTGCCGCAGAACCTCCAGCACCGGTAGCACCACCAGCTCCAGTAGCACGGCTCCAGTGGCGAGCAAACCACTCACGCAGCTCCTGGGGAGAGGGTAGCTCCCGCCGGGACGAAGCAACCGAAGGACCTCCAGGCGCAGCACCACCAGGCTCCACTCGAGTAGGCCCAGCACCCCTAGGCTCTGCACCCCCAGACTCAGCAACCCCAGGCTCAGCACCCCCAGACTCAGCACCCCCAGGCTCAGCACCCCCAGACCCAGCACCCCCAGGCTCCGCACGCTCAGGCTCAGCACCCCCAGACCCGGCACCCGCAGGCTCAGCACCCCCAGCAGCACCAGAGTCAACAGCTACCTCGACAGGCTCAACTGCGTCTACCTGGGACACACCTGAGGGGGCAGGACCCTGCGGGGGGGAGGGGGTCTACCGGGGGGGGACCTGGCGCGAGGAAGAGCGGCGGGGGGGGGAGGGGGGCAGCGCGGTAGGGGAAGAGACGGTAGTACGGAACCGACTCGTCAAACGTGACGTCCTGGGAGGACAGAACACGGCGCGAGGTGGGGTGGTAAATTTGCCAACCAGGCGCGTCAGGGGGGAAGCCGAGGAAGACGCAGGGAACAGCACGAGAGGACAGCTTGTCTGCAGACAAGTCTCGGACGAAAGCTCGAGATCCCCAGACACGGAACGCAGACGCATCACCAACCTTCCCCGTCCACCGCAGAGTGGGGGAGGTCTCCGGCAAGGAGACCCGGGGCTGTAGGTTGATCTGCTGTGCCGCGTACTGAACCGCAAACGGCCACAGAAAATGGGGAGCAGCCGCATGGATCATGGACGTACGAGCGACGTCCATGACCATGCCAATGCGGCGCTCAGCAATCCCATTTTGCTGTGGAGAGGCCGGAAGCGTGAACGTCTGGCGGATGCCCCACGCACGACAGAAGGCTCGCAGAAGGTCGGAGGAAAACTCTCCACCTCTGTCGGAGTGCAGACGCAGAACAGGAAAGTCCGAGCCGAAACTCTCTCTGAGCTGGAGACGAGCAGCGCGGATCCAGTCGATCAACACCCCAGTGACCTCACCCTTGGTGCGCAAGGGGAAGACTGTGGTGTAACGCGAGTAGTCGTCAACCACCAGGAGGAAGTAACGCTCGTGACCCTGTCCACGGACGCGGGCTGGGCCCCACACGTCCATGTGAAGAGTCTGCAGCGGAGCCTCTGTCGGAGGAAACTCGGAGGAGTGAGGAGCGGCGCGCTGCCGTCCCTCGACGCAGGGAACGCAGGTAAGGGCAGGCCCCGGAGGAAGGGGAGGGAGGGACCTGGGGAGACCAGAGACAAGGACACGAGAGGCCATGCCTCGGAGACGAGGCAGGGAGGGGTGACCAAGGCGGTGGTGCCAGAGGAGGGTCTGGTGGGACAGGAGGCGACACGAGCAGGGGGCAGACTCAGGACCAGACCTGGACGCTGCAGCAAACACCTGACCCGACGCAGCTACCTGACCAGACGCACGAACCGGAGGAGACTCAGTAGTCAGTGTGTACAGGCTCGACCCCGGCTGACAGGTAAACGTGGCTAAGTGTCGGCCCGTCCGAGCACACGTGCAGTGGGTCACCCGCTGACTCGCAGGAGTGAACTGGTCAACTCCTCCATCCTGCAGGTCAGCACCACTCACCAAGTTCGTAGAGAACGAGGGGAGGTAAAGACCTGACAGGGAGCCAGACGGGGCCGCTGGACACGGTAGCACAGTGGAGAAGTGGGCAAGGACAGGACCCCCAGAGGGGTCTGCCAGGGAGACTGCAACCGGCCGACTGAGCGGCGTGAGGGTGGTGCGGTCTCGAAAGAAGGAGCGAGAAGCTCCCGAGTCAAGGGTGAAGGTGTGGAAGACCGCAGTAGGCGCAGTAGCAGAGAGAGCAGACTCACCAGCACCTGGAGCAGTAGACTCACGAGCACCTAGAGCAGCAGCCTCACCAGCACCTGGAGGAGGAGACGTACCAGCACCTAGAGCAGCAGCCTCACCAGTACCTAGAGCAGCAGACTGGATACCGGGGTCAGGCGGCACACACAGGTAACAGGCACCCTCAGCACTAGTAGGCAATGCATACATGGCAGTGAGGATAGCATCATAGT